TACATTCCCTATTGTGATGCCGGTGGCCCAGAGAGAGCTGAAATATCAACAAGCCTTTTCTTCCCCTTCCTGCTGCTGCTGGTGTTGCAGTCACGTAGTTGCCTACCATTTGTGACCGTATGATCTGTTAACCGTTGCTATTTGGTTATCTCCATTTTATCAGTGTTTTGCTTTCATGCGTTAACTGGGGATGTACCTCCTAAACCTTCATTCTGTGGTCTACTCTTTTGAGTGAGGTTGTCACGGATCCCCCACATGCCACACCCACAGCGACTATCTAACTGAGGCGCGCACGTGCGGCCGTAACTTGGGGGTATGAGGGAATAAAGGGGACTTAACTTAGAATCTGTACGTTACAGACGTGTTATTAATGAATTGTGTTTCTTACATTATTATTTCATATTCTTGAAATATGTCTGAACCCAAGTGTCAGAGGTGTCTGGAGGCTTGCAAGGTCAGGGAAACCATTGGGGACAAACATTATCAAGCAGCCACTGCGGGTGTAGCACTACACTTAAACTACTTATTATAACACACATATATTTCTAACAATAATGATAAAAAATACAACTCACCAAATATACAATATAATAGGATTATAACTTCACTTTTAATCCTTTTCAGATAATGTGATATTTCATCCTGGATATATATACATCTGGATGGACAAGCGTCTTGATACTTAAATTTCTTTTAGTCTTTTCCTAAAATGTCCTAACTATATCAAGTTTTTATATGATTACTCTTTAAAAGTGTTATTTCTTTGACACAATGTTCTCCAATCTTCAGAACAATAGCCAGAGTATGCAAGGTTAGTTATTCCTGCTAATCAGAACAATAGAGAGAAAGATAGCCTGTGTATCTTGCTATAGAATGTTGGCCTTGTCCACAATACCATGTGTGTGATCTGAAGGTCCTTTGTATATATATCGTAGAGGTCTAGTTTGAATGCATCATGCAGTTTTCCTTGGTCATAAAACTAGCTGATTTGTTGAGGCCCTGCAACCATGAGACATGAGGCATGAGATATTAGCCTAACAAGATATTTCTTTGATCAACCTAGCGCATGGTTCAGAGAATGAAAGGGTCCTTGACTTGATCACAACGTGTTTGTAGACCAAATTGTCTCTTGGGAAAGTTAAACAGAAATGAAGACATTTGTCTCTAAGCTTACTTGGACTAAAAATTATAGAAATAATAAAATATAAATTTTTATTCATAGAAATTCTAGCATGATGTAAATTTTTGTGAAACAGGGGAAAGGTCCCCTTTAAACCTGCTTCCATGAAGATCCTGCCTGGTTTGACCCTTCATTATTCTACTTCAACACAAAGTTATATTCTAGTAGAGTTATTTGATTGGCATAAAATAGAACATTTTTAATCATGTCAACCAAACATAAAACAATATTTTGTGTATACTGTAAGATTTTTAGACACCTTCTGATGTTCCCCACCAGTCAGATTTTTCACTGGTAATTCCACTGAGACGCTGGCAATTTGAATAGTTCCCTTCATTCAAAGATAGTTATGTTTAATTAAATGTGAGCAACACAGAGTGAAGCTGGACATGATTTTCTGTTTTCTTATTAGTACTTTGGATGTCTGCCCACCATGCAGTAAAATAAAACTGCTGATATTGACAGCAGGATCAAAAATAATTTGTGACCAAATCTGATCATAAGGTTTAATTAATTCCTTTAGGAAGTGAAGATGTAACCTTTTTATCATTTTAGACACAATCTAAAATACAATAGGGAACTGATAAAAATGTAAATGATTGTCTCTTCTGAATTTCAATAATAAATAGGACTGTGAAAATCTATACTTTGCTGTTTTCCAATTTTTTTTTAATGATTTGTATTTAAAAGTTGATTCTTCATTCAAAACTGCATATACATATACAGTATCTCACAGAAGTGACAACACTGAAGAAATGACACTTTGCTACAATGTAAAGTAGTGAGTATACAGCTTGTATAACAGTGTAAATTTGCTGTCCCCTCAAAATAACTTGCCACACTGCCATTAATATCTAAACCATTGGCAACAAAAGGGAGTACACCCCTAAGTAAAATGTCCAAATTGGGCCAAAAGTGTCAATATTTTGTGTGGCCACCATTATTTTCCAGCACTGCCTTAATCCTCTTGGGCACTGGAATCCTCTTCCACTCCTCCATGATGACATCACAGAGCTGGTGGATGTTAGAGATCTTGTGCTCCTCCACCTTCCATTTGAGGATGCCCCACAGATGCTCAATAGGGTTTAGTTCTGGAGACATGCTTGGCCAGTCCATCACCTTTACCCTCAGCTTCTTTAGCAAGGCAGTGGTCATCCTGGAGGTGTGTTTGGGGTCATTATCATGTTGGAATACTGCCCTGTAACCCAGTCTCCAAAGGGAGGGGATCACGCTCTGCTTCAGTATGTCACAGTACATGATGGCATTCATAGTTCCCTCAATGAACTGTAGCTCCCCAGTGCTGGTGTAAGAGGTGCAGAAAATAGGCAGCCCCATAAAATTTAAATCCAAAGCCTAATACCTAATATAACAGTAATCTATCTTTGTCAATAGAAGATACTAGAGATTGCATTTTTATTGCATCATCACAAGAGGGCAGAACTACTTCCTGTGATAATAGGAAGACACAGAAGTGGAAATAAAAGTCTGAACCAAATCAGTTCATCTTGGTCCCGTCAGACCACAGTACATGGTTCCAGTAATCCATGTCCTTAGTCTGCTTGTCTTCAGCAAACTGTTTGCGGGCTTTCTTGTGCATCATCTTTAGAAGAGGCTTCCTTCTGGGACAACAGCCATGCAGACCAATTTGATGCAGTGTGTGGTGTATGGTCTGAGCACTGACAGGCTGACCCCCCCCACATTACACTGTTATACAAGCTGTACACTCACTATTTTACATTTTAGCAAAGTGTCATTTCTTCAGTGTTGTCACATGAAAAAAATATAATAAAATATTTACAAAAATGTGAGGGGTGTACTCATTTCTTTGAGATACTGTAGCTTCCCCTACCAACCCAATTGTAACAAGCATACACACAGAGATGGATGCCGTTCAATCATTTTGGCTTCAACCTCCATCTTGGCAAAGGGGTTAACCATCCTTACAAACATATTTCCCTCTCATTCTCCCCCTCCCTCTCTGAGAGTCACAGCGACATTTGGCCAGTGTGTATGTGCGTTAGAAGTGTCACAGGAGTCCAGGGCCCAGCAGGGGGCTAGAAGCTATAAAGTCCCCAAGGGAGCTGAGGCCTAGCTGTCCAAAGAACCTGTGCAATGTAACACCTCGTATAAGATAAGGCAAGCTTTCCCAGGAGTTCAAAGAACATTCCCAGGAAACACGACCAGATAACCTTTGTTAAAATCCATTTTTCCCCAATGTCTCATATATTGGAATATGAGAGACTTACATAAAAACCGGACATATCGTCAGATTGGCTAAGAGGAGACGAACATTTTGGTAGGTCACTCGCATTGTCTCGAATACGTAGGAAAGCCGAAAAGTAGATCTCGTGAACCGTTCAGTGTACAATTTCATAATTCATATCTAATCAATCCTCAGACATGTCTGCATATTAATCTACCCGCGGGTGGAATGTCACTTGTGCAGATGGAAAGTTATGGGCCAAAACATGAGTTAGGAGAGATTTTGGTTCTAGTTTAGGGCTACGCCCAGACCTCCACGCCCTAAACGGGGTATTGGTCCTTGACTTCAGAGACACCCCCTGCTGGGGAACTACAAATTGGGCTGTCAGGCCTAAGAGAGGGAAGTTGAAGACGTCTCCCATTTTAACATCAGTACCACCTGGGGAGACCCGTGCCCTTTCGCTCTGAAACTTGGATCTGCTAACCCAGGACTTTGGCAAGTACCTTAACCCTTTCACCTCTCTCTAATATCTCTTTGCTGTGCTGTTGCTCTCTGTATATTTATATATATATCTTAGTTACATCTTTTTCTGTAAATATTTTTATTGCACCTGTTTGACCTTTTAGTAATAAATCTTTCCTTCTGAAAGTGTTGAACTGTTTCTATAGCTCTTAATTGCAATTTACGAATTCCTGCCTCTAAAAGAGACGCTACTGTGTTTGTTTAACCCTCTGTATAAACCGGCCTGTGGTGACCATTTTATACAGGCGATTATCTCAACCATTATAGTGTTATAGCTGATATCGCCGAGTTTCCGCTTTCTCTGTACAAAAAGGAGGTGGTGGCAGTGTGAAGGGTTAATTGCGTAATTAACCTGACCCAGTAACAATCGCATTCAGGTTGCCGGTGCATTGATTGTGGTTCAATTAGCTGGAAAATCGCTGTGCAGGGTGCAGCTGAGTGTGGCATTGTTACGCACGTGACATCACGGTTTTAGATTGGCTAGTCCTTCGAGCACGAGTTTGGTGAGAAGGGCTGGGGTCTGACGCCGCGTTCGACACATATTGGTGACAGCGATCGTGGGATTGTCGCATATTGGTGGCAGCGATCCCGTGTTCGTGACACCAATAAGCAACAACATGCTTGTTTTAGCAGACTAATTGCAGCAAATGTAACAAAACAGCATGCAACGTTGGGCCAGCAGAGATGGGTATGCTACACGGAGAGTACTCTCTCAAAGGGGTTCATCTTTGGATTGTTTATACTCAAAAGAGGTTACTACTAGGGTTGCCATCTCATCCCTTTAAAACCGAACACATATTAATTACACTGGTTCGGTGGTTGATTAAGGTGGTACTTAAACTCACTTAGGGCCTTATCTGCATTAACTACTTGCCAACCGCAGAGCTGAATGACGGATACACTGCGACCAGCCAGTTCTGGGAGGGCGTCATATGATGTTCTCCCAGAACGTGCTCTCCTGCGCGCCCCCGACGATCTCCGTGATCGCTGTGTCCTACGGACACAGCTGATGACGTGATGTGGTAAAAGGCCAATCACAGCGGCCTTTTACCACTTGATCAGCCGTGTCCAATGACACGCTGATCACCGGGAAATGCAATTGCCGGTTCTCGGCTGCACTTTCCTCATGCTGTCAGAGTGCGAGGAAAGTACTGCCGAGAACCGGCAGTTGTCAGAGCAGTGATCGGCACCGATCATCAGGGCACTGATGATCAGTGCCCTGATGATCAGTGCCAAGCAGTGCCACCCACCAGTTCCGCCCACCTGTGCCCAGCAGTGCACCCACCTGTGCCCAGCAGTGCCACCCAGCAGTGCCACCTACCTGTGCCCAGCAGTGCCACCCACCTGTGCCCATCCACTAGTGCCACCCATCTGTGTCCACCAGTGCCCATCAATGCAGTGCTGCCAGTCAGTGCCACCAGTCAGTGCCCAGCAGTTGCGCCAGTCAATGCTTAGCAGTGCCGCCAGTCAGTGCCCAGCAGTGATGCCAGTCAGTGCCACCTATCAGTGCTGTCTATCAGTACCCATCATCAGTGCCGCCTATCCATGACAACTGATTAGTGCTGCCTATCAGTGCCGCCTATCCCTGCCACCTCATTAGTGCTGCCTATCAGTGCCGCCTATCAGTGCCCATCAGTGCCGCCTATCAGTGCCCATCAGTGCTGCCTCATCAACGCACATCAGTGAAGGAAAAAAATTACCTGTTTTGAAAATTTTTTTAATAGAAACAATTTTTTTTTTTAAATTTTTTGCACTTTTTTTGTTTAGAGTGCAAAAAGTAAAGCGCCCAGCAGCGATTAAATGCCACCAAAATAAAGCTCTATTTGTGAGAAAAAAATGATAAAAATGTCATATGGGTACAATCTTGCATGACCGGTCAATTGTCAATCAAAGTGCGACAGCGCTGAAAGCTGAAAATTGGCCTGGTAAAGAAGGGGGTATCAGTGCCCGGTAGGCAAGTGGTTAAATAAGCCTATGAACTTGTGTAATGAATATGTATTCTGTTTTAATGGAATGAGGTGGCAACCCTAGTTATTACTTGCCATACTATGATTTAGCTATCCCATATGCATGGCTATTGTTATGACAACCCCCTTGAAAGGGAGGTGATACACCGGAAGTCAAATAATTTTTTTTATCAATTTCAGTTATGGTAACCATACATGTTTCAATAAATGACTCATTTGTCTTGAATCTCAATAGGAATAATCAATCTATAGTCAAAAACCCATTCGATCGATATGCCACACGTGGGGAAAAGGATTTTAAGTGATAGTTAAAGATTTGATGGTTACTTTTGATCATAAATTATCAATCACACCTCATGTTTCCACTATATAACCTCATTATCTAGTTGATTGAAATACAGTCATATTCATGAATATAGTATATCAGTGCTGCTGCTCGATGCACAATGATTGATAATTTTCCACCCTGGTCAATCAGTTAAGATTGATTGAATCTAAATCAATAAGAAGGTTTCATCTTCACAATAGGAATGATTTCTCTATGCCGTTATTCTCTCTCTTTGCTTTTGCTTATGTTTTTTCCACTGATATTGTTACTAGCTGATTGCCTTTTGTCACCGAGCGGGATATCTATGCAAGTTGTAATCTTCTCTGTTATGTGCAATTAATATTTGATCTGGATTATAGGATGGGCATGTTGTATTTCTCCATCTGCATTCTAGTATTTGTAAAAGACGATGTACTTTATTTCCTGTCTTAAAGCAGAGCTTTACGCATAATATGATAAAAAATAATGTCCTTTAGCAAGGAACATACAGTCCACATTCATATTTATGCTACCAAAATTAGTGTGTGCTGTAAATTGCCTCCAACATTGTTTCTGTTTCTTCTTGCCAGACGATGCCATTTTCAGAGCTCTTGAGCAGCAGTAAAGCTTTAGGCTGTCAGCAGATCGACCTCTACACATTCAGCACAGTGTTGCAAATAGAGAGAAACTGAGCATGTGCAGACCAGTGTGAGACAGCGTATTACTGGATTTTAAACAGTATAGGGCACCTATTTTTTAATGTTTTACATAGCTATACCTGCAAACGGGGCCAGCCTGAAGTGATCTCGCAGACTTAATTTTCTGAGTAAAGTTCCACTTAAAAAATGTAGTTGAGTACTGATAAATCGATTGGAAGGGAAGTTATGGCTATATGATGGTTTCAGATTTGATTTTGATCAAATTGCACTTCAATCGTATGATAACATCAAAGTATGTATGGCCGCCATTAGACTCACTTTGAATTTAAACCTGAACTACAGGGAAACAAATGTCTTAGATCACATACATGTGATTGATTTTTTTCTGTCAAAATATTTGTAATTCTTTCCAGTCACTCTTGTGATCCAAACACACAGAACCGTGCTGCCAATGAGGCAATTGGTGGTGGGTGGTGCTGAGACCAGAGTGCCCATATCAAGCACTCTGCCCTAAAAGCATGTTGAGACCTGAGTATGTTGTAGCCACCTACACCATAAAAAACAATGATGCTGTGCTTCCCACCTGCCTCTGTCCTAGCAAAAAATGATGCTAAGAGGCAAATGCTGATGCTCTAGGTGAGCCTGCCAAATCAGTCCTTCACATACAGTTGTGTTCAAAATAATAGCAGTGTGTTGAAAAAAGTGAATAAAGCTCAAAATCCTTCTAATAGCTTTTATTTCCATACACACAAATGCATTGGGAACACTACACATTCTATTCCAAATAAAAACATGAAGAAAAATATATCAAATTTGTGTTGTTCCTCAAAAAAAATTGAAGAAAAGTGAATATTAGACTGTTCAAAAAAATAGCAGTGCTTGTATTCTTCTTTACAAACTCAAACATTCACTATATAAACTGAAAAATTTTGAAGATTTTGCTTTCCTTTGAATTACTTAATGAATATTTAGTTGTATAAGCACTGTTTCTGAGAACTTCTGTACATCTGTGTTGCATGGAGTCAACCAACTTCTGGCACCTGTGAACAGGTATTCCAGCCCAGGATGATTGGACTACATTCCACAGTTCTTCTCTATTTTTTGGTTTTGCCTCAGAAACTGCATTTTTTATGTCACCCCATAAGTTGTCTATTGGATTAAGATCCGGGGATTGGGCTGGCCACTCCATAACATCAATCTTGTTGTTTTGGAACCAAGATGTTGCACGTTTACTGGTGTGTTTGGGGTCGTTGTCTTGTTGGAACACCCATTTCAAGGGCATTTCCTCTTCAGCATAAGGCAGCATGACCTCTTCAAGTATTCTGATGTATTCAAACTGATCCATGATCCCTGGTATGTGATAAATAGGCCCAACACCGTAGTATGAGAAACATCCCCATATCATCATGCTTGCGCAACCATGCTTCACTGTCTTCACAGTGTACTGTGGCTTGAATTCAGTGTTTGGGGGTCGTCTGATAAACTGTCTCCGGACACTAGACCCAAAAAGAACAATCTTACTTTCATCAGTCCACAAAATGTTGCGCCATTACTCTTTAGGCCAGTCAATGTGCTGTTTGGCAAATTGTAACCTCTTCGGCGCGTCTTTTTCAACAGTGGGACTTTACGGGGGCTTCTTGCAGATAGCTTGGCTTCACATAGGCGTCTTCTAATTGTAACAGTACTCACAGGGAACTTTAGACCTTCTTTGATCTTCCTGGAGTGTCAAGGTCCTACCTTTTCACAGAGGTTGTGCTGCTCCATGTGCTGGCATCCATCTTGGGTTTCTGCAAAGAGCATGGTGGGAGTCTTTTATGCCTTCAGGCCTCTGAGGTCCATCCCCCAGAGGGGTGTGGTTGATTACATATAAGTCTGTTGTCCGCACATGCCCTTTGCATTCGTGTCTTGTGTGTTAGTGTTGCAACAGCTCTGTGTATACTCTCGTGACTCTCCTGGAATCTGACTCGGCTTGTGACTAGACCATTCTCTGAGTTTTCCTTTAATCTGACCTCCCGTTGCTGAACCCGGCCTGTGACCTGTGATTCTTGTCTACTGTTCTGTACCGTTTGTCCCATTGTTGTCGACCCGGCCTGCCCGACTACGCTATTGTCTGCTTCCTACCAGCTACACGCCATTGGCGGTGGCCATTACCGCAGCTGAGGTGTCTCGGGGGCCGCAACCTGGTTCCTGGCTGCATCAAGTCCATCCCCACCATCAGGGGCCCTGGTGAAAGGCAGCCTGGGACTTAGACTCCGCGCCCTGAGGGACTCCGGTCTGTGGGTGGTGGTTGTCGTCAGTCAGTGCGTGACCCTGCCTCTAGGCCTGCCTGTCCGTTTCCACAGCTCCTGCCCTGACATGGAGCCGATTGTTGGCTGAGTCCTTGCCATTTTGGCTATTCTTCTATCCATTCAAATTTTAGTTTTTCGCTTTCTTCCATGTCTTTCAGGTTTTTGTTGCCATTTTAAAGCATTTGCGATCATTTAGCTGAGCAGCCTATCATTTTTCTGCACTTCTTCCTATGTTTTCCCCTCTCCAATCAACTTTTTAATCAAGGTACGCTGTTCTTCTGAACAATGTCTGGAACGACCCATTTTCCTCAGAATTTCAGAGAGAAATGCACTGTAGCCAGCATGTACAACATTTGCTGCTTTCCTTCCTTAAATAAGGGCAATAATTGCCACCTGTTTTTCAAAGAATGAATGACCTCACTAATAGAACTCCACACTGCTATTATTTTGAACATGCCCCTTTCAATTAGTGATTCAATTACACAGAATCAGCAGCATGCATGTCATGACTGTTGGGTCTGTTGGATTTCTATTACTCTACTACACCTGCTAGTAAATTATTTGCCATGTAAAATATCATTTTCTACCAAAAACAGTGATTGATCAGGTTAGTGATGTCTGACTGCTATTATTTTGAACACAACTGTACCTCCACACCTCCACACTCTAGGTGCTAGCTCAGTTCGTCTAGCTGTGTGCAGATGTGCAGCGTAAAATCAGAAGAATCTGGACCGCTGCACTCCAAGCAATGCATCTGTCTTTATTTCAAATATAAAAGCACCATGCTCTGCCAACAAGACACTGTGGGGACAGGAAAAAGGTCAATGCGTTTTATGCCCTAACTGCGCTTATTCATGACTTCCAGATGTTGCTGTGTGGTTTCTTTTGTTCCTAGGATGCAGGCAGCCCTTGTAGCATAGTATGCTTTGTTAGGATGCAGTCAGTCACCTGCATGCTAGCAACCAATCGCACAATGTGGCTTCCTTTGTTGCGAGGATACAGGTGGCCCCTGCCATATAGTTTACTTTGTTGCTAGAATGTAGTGAGCTGCCTGTGTGCTAGCAACAAACGATGCCATGTTGCCTGGCCACCTGTGTCCTAGCATCCAATGATGGGGAAGGGGGGTCACAAATGCCATCCTCCCCAGCATGGCCCTGCAGACACTTCTAACAAAAAGCACGGTCAAGTTCCTAAGCTCACATTTCTGCACTGTACCACTGTCACACAGAGGCCTACAGGCAGGTAAATTAGGCAGAATTAGATACTTAATTTAGAATTATTTAAATATATGTAATATTTCTTAAGAGAATGCTAAGTTGGTTTGAATGAGAATTTTTAATGTCCACTTGTATTTTACCCTTAAAGCTGAATTCCAGCCAAAAACAATTTTTGTCCATTTGCGCTGTAAAGAATACATGAAAAGACAGATCACAGAGGGTTGTTTTCTCTGCAGCTTGTCCATTCC